GGTGTAGGGCTGGTCATTATTATACCCTTCTCCTGGTGGCACAAACATTCTGGGGCCTCCCTGGAGGCAGAGATCTCTGATTCTCTGATTCAAGGGGCTACATGACGGTGTACAGAAGGGGGTATGGGAAATCAGAGGTCTTAGGAGACCTCTGCAGCTAGTCAAGAGCCTCCTACATTCCCGGGAAAGAGGACAGCTGAGGTGAAAACTACAGTTGGCCAGCCTGCCTGTCGGTCTCAGCTCCTCCCTGCCGGCTGCCTTGGCTGCCCACAGAAACCTGAGTCACAGTCACAGCCAGTGCCTGACCCCACCCAGCCTGTGTCAGGCAAGGCGGTTCTGGACAGACAGGAGGTGGAGCCTCTCCTTGCCTGTCTCACGGCCTCTGATTTGTCCTCCCTTTGCCTGTGATTCCTGCACTTGGCCCTGCTTTCTCTTTGGAACTCTGGGGACTCATCTTCTTAGAGTCATCAGTTTTGAATTAAGGGTGGGGGCGAGACCCATGTATTGATCTATAAGGTCTCACTCACCCTTGCTCAGACTGAAACCTAAAATCTCCTTGGAGTGGCTGTTAGGAGTAGAGTGCATGCTTTGTAAGGGCAAGGCCCTGAGTTTCACCTCCAGCACAAACAAAACTCCCTACACAGCAGGTCCCGAGCTCTAAGGGCTGTTTCCATCAGTTTTTTAACTCCAATCCCTCCCTACCACCTCTAGGGAGTAGAACATTTAGGAAACCAGATACCCCTCTCCACCCTCATCCCTTGTTCCCTAGAGAAGTCAGTAGGAACTTAAGAAACTCAAGGTCATCCTCGGCTATATAGTGTGTTCACGACCAGCCTTGGCTACAAGAGATCCTATCTCAGGGAGAAAAAAAAAAACAAAAAACAGAAAAAAAGAGAAGGCCGAGGACCAGTTTCTCATCCTGGTAGGAGCACTGAACAAAGACTTCCTCCAAGGCACCCAAAGGCTTGACCTCTGTAGTACTGAATTTTAGTTCCTCCTGCCTCCAAACCTCGGCCCTTCCTCCTCCTTAAGAGCTGGAGGGAGAGAGGCAGCTGGTCATCACTACCCTGAAGGACATTTCCCAGTCCCGGTGTCAAGCAGTGGGCCCCGGAGGCTAACGCTCCTCAGTCTAAACCACACGCAGCCCCTCCCCCTATTTGAGCAGTGCGGTGGGGGTGGGGCTGGGGCGGGAATGAGAATCTGGTGGCAGTACTTTCCGCTGCCCCCCAAAAGGCTCCTCCCACTTCCTACTTTGTGGGGGTGGAGGCAGCATCCCAGGCCTCTGTCCTGAGATATCTATCTCGGAGTCAAATATCCCAGCCGCTTTCTTAAATACGTGGTGGGCTCTAACTTGGCTCTCCCCTGTCAGACCTAGGAGACTGGGGGCGCTTTTGCTCCAGCCTTCCTCCTAGGACAATCTGCAAGGGGACGTCGTCCTGATCTTCAGTCAGGATTTGCACCAACACCAGCTTCACTAGCTCTTGCCTGTTTCCGTGGAGGGGGAGGAGACTCCTCTGGGCGGCTGAGACGACAAAGTTCCCGGCCTCTCTGCTGAACGGGCAGGATATCCTCTTGGGGCTTCAGCCCCATTTGTTACTCGTACCCACGATTGCACCTTCTGAGAAGGCATGTGGAGCCATCGCCTAACCCCAAACATAGAGACAGCAGCCTTTTCTTAATAAAGAAATAAGCAAGAAAAAATAAAAATAAATAAATAAAATCTTTGTTAGTCCTCAGTTGTTGGGTTTGGGGTCCTGGTCAGGTGCAGGGAGAAATAAGAAATATCCACACCACCTGCTGCCTACCCCAACCTCATTATAGAGCCCTGGCTCCCCCCACCCACCAAGGCATCCTCCGGGGCTCTCTATGGGCCAGTCAGCTCTGCCAGAACCCTCTGGTCCCTCCTGTTGCCTGACTCTCAGATACCCTCCTAGTCTACAGTACCAAAGATTGTGAAAAGGTGCAGGACTCATGATCTGAGAGGCAAGGGCTCCTCAGTTTTGATGCCATGAATATTCTGTGTCTGCTAATTTTTTGTTGTAAGATTTCTGTGTTGTAGGATTTTTTTATATATAATTTATTTTTATTTTATGTACATTGGTGTTGTGACTGCATATATATGTATGAGGGTGTCAGATCCCCTGGAACAGAAGTTGCAGACTGCAGCCATTTGTGAGCTGCCATGTAGGTACTGGGGATTGAACTCGGGTCCATCTAGAAGAGCAGCCAGTTCTCTTAACGGCTGAACCGTCTCTCCAGCCCTCATGTTGCAGGGTATTTAAGCCATATTCTTGGCTCCCATTCACTAGATGCCAATAGCACCCTAAGTTCTAACAAACCAAAGTGTCATTAAACATTGACAGATATCCCCTAGAGTGTCTGTGTGAATGCAAAGACGCCTTTGGTAGAGGACCATTGATAGAGTCTAACACCACACACCTGAACTACCCAATCCACAGACCTCCCCAGAGTCAGCCCCAGATGATTAGATGCAAGTGCAGACTTCCAGTTTTCATCTCTCTCCCATCTTAGATTCTCTTGGTCCTCAACAGCTTCCCAGGATCTATATCTGTGAGTCAGTGGCATTTCAGTTCTCCCCTCCAATTAAGTCCATTGCCCCCTCCTTTATTCCAGAATTCTCGACACTTTGGGAATCTTACTACTCCCATCTTTTTCCATGCAATAACCTCAGGACACTGACAGGAAGGCAGAAGAAGAACCATTCCAGAGGGTAGGCCCCTTGTTGGGGTCTGCTCCCAAATTATCCAGTATAAACTCTGCAGGGGTCCAGCTCTGGAAGACGCAGACCTTTAGACCTCTGACTTCACCAAGGACGGTCATGGACTCCATCATCCATACAGTCACAGTCACCTCATCCTGCAGATGGGATGACTAACAGCAAATATGGAAGGTCGTCTTAATCCTCTTTTACATTTGAATTCCCTTCATCATCAAAACCATCATCATTACCATCATATTATTCAGCACATCCCACATGCCAGGCTCTAAGCTAAGCACCTCATCTGCATTGTCTAATTTTTACAATGACCCCCAAAATACTTCATGGCACTATTTTATTTATTTACTGTGAAGCAGGTCTCATGCATCCCAGTTGCCTTCAAAGTTTGAGGTCAGCCTGGTCTACAGAGTAAGTTCCAGGACAGCCAAGGCTACACAGAGAAACCCTGTCTTAAAAAACAAAACAGCCAGGTGTGGTAATACACATCTGTAATCCTAGTACTCGAACTCGGGAAGGGGGAGGCAGAGGCAGGAGGATCTCTGTGAGTTGGAGGCTAGCCTGCTCTACAGAGCAAGTTCCAGGACATCCAGGGCTCTGTTACAGAGAAACTCTGAAGAAAGAGAGAAAAGAAAGAAAGACAAAACAAACAAAAAATTAGTGGCATGTGCCTTTAATCCCAGCACTAGAGAAGAGGAAAGCAGATTTCTGTGAGTTCTAGGCCTGTCTAGTCTACATAATGAGTTTCAGGCCAGCCAGGGCTATGTAGTGAGACTCTGTGTTTTATGTGTGTGTGTATATGTTTATATATATTAACATATATGTAATACATAGTATATGTTATATATATACACACACACATATGGTTTCAGGAAAGTTGGCACTTGTTTTAAGATTAGCTCTAGTTGCTGAGCCTTCAAGTATCATCCTTTTTTTTTTTAAGTTTTTTTTCTTTTATAATTTATTTAATTTTACTTTATACAAATTGGCTGGTTTGAGGGTATCGGATCCTATGGAAACGGAGTTACAGACAGCTGTGAGATGCCATGTGGGTGCTGGAAATCGAACCTAGGTCCTTTGGAAGAGCAGACAATGTTCTTAACCACTGAGCTATCTCTCCAGCCCCGTATCATCCTTTTTCTAAAAGTCACTCTCAGTCTCCAGTCCTGTCCAGTCTCCCCGGAGGACTCAAGGCTCCAGCTACTTACTGCACAGTGCTGGAGATACTGCTCCTAAGTTGCTGAAAACCTCTGCCATTTTAGTGCCCACCCTCTCCCGCTGAAAGACTGCTCCGTGGTGAAACTGCTCTAAGAAGGATCAAATGGTTGGGAAGGAGGTGCAGGGAGACAGTGTCTGACTGGCCCTAATTGATGCACAACTAGAGAACTAGAGAACTGACCTCCAGGTCAGGACAAAGAGCAGGACTAGGGTAGGCAGAGCCCAGCTACCCCTCCTTCCTCCCTGCAGCAGCACATCCACTATTGATCCACCTTCCCAGCAAGCTCCCTGCAGCCTGTCCCAGGCCAGGCCTGACTTGGCTCGAGGTCCTCAACTCAGCTGGCATGAACCAGGCGATAGGAGAGCTCACTCCAGAACGCTGAGCCTGGATATTTTGGGAGAGGAGGGTGAAGAAAGGCGTATTACTCTTTATCTATTCTTCATCGCGACATGCCTTAGGAAAGAAAATCCTTCTGGGGAGAGGTGGGGGGTAGGGTGGGGAGGTCTTCTGATGAAGGTAGGGGAGGTTCGAGGCTAGGACCACCCAGTTTGGCCCTGGGAGGGCCCCAGCAGATTAGAGACCTGAGTGAAGCAGCCTTGCAGGGTTGTAATTACCCGAGAGAGAAACAGAGAACACACCAACCCTAGGGTGCAAGAGGAAAGGCGCCTTTGCAGCCATCACCAGAAAGAGAAAGGATAGCCCTTTTAGGGGACTCCATGAGACCGTTCTTCAGGCATTGCAACGTCCCCCATAACGATTTTGTCTGAGGCAGGCTCGGGAGAGAATTTAGACTTGAAGCCCGGAGCCTTTAGCATCCAGAGTGAGAATGGGGGATCCCAAGCCCGCTCCCCACTCCCCCAGTCTCAGCGGCGGGTGAGTCAGTCACCCGAGAGCTCCCTACATAGGCTTCAGCCGCGCGGCGCGTACTAACGCGCGGCCGCAGGGGGAGACAGCGTGGCCGGCATCGTGCCCTCAGCTCGGCGTCCGCTCTGCCGTGACTACAGAAGGAGCGTGGTGAGAGTCACCGTGCTGCAATCCCGGGAGGAGTCGGAGCTCTCGGGCTGTGCCCGCGGTGGCGCCGTACTCCATCACGGCGGGGTCGGTTGTCCCCCGCGCACTTGGTACATTCGGAGAGGCCAGGCCCAGCCGGGGCGGTACAATAGGGTTGGGCCGCGACCAAGCCCGGGCCAGCGCGGGGCACCGGAGCAGAATCGCGGCCGCGGAGGACCGACACCGGGTGCCCGGTACTCAGAGCTTCGCCAGCCACCGGCCTCGACCTCTCCCACTCGGAGTGCGGCCGCCTCTAAGTCGTTACCCGCTGGGCGGGCCGGACGGGATGCGCCGCGGGACCCCAGTCCTGGCCTCGGGCCGCCGCCGCCGCCGCCGCTGAGACCCCCCAAAACCTCCAGTGACGCCGCAGTCATGGAGAGCGGCTCGCGTGCGGAGCCCGGGCCGGGCGCACCCGCAGGTAAGCCGGGAGCCACACGAGAGCGAGGCCGGGGGGGAGGCCGAGCAGCCGCGGGGCGGCCGAGGATGAGGCCGGCGGCTGGGCGGGGACCCCTCCCCCGCCGCGCCCTCTGACCACTTAGAAGTTTAAAAATAAAGGCTGCGGCCGCCGCCGCGGCTCGGGGCCACCGACGCATCTTCTGACAGCTGCCTCCTCCCCCAACATCCGCGCCGGGACGCACGGGGCGTCGGGATCCGCGGGAACCCAGCTAGGGAATCGATAGGGTGACCCTTCTGCCGCAGCCCGGTGCCATCCTCTCTTCCCCGCCCCCACTCTCTTTTGAGATCCACCCCACACTCTGAAGATCCTCTTTTACTGAGCCGGAGCTGCGGTCCCTCTTTCCATCCTCCGTGGGCACGTGTGACCTTAGCCTTAATGTGTGTGTTGGGGGCCCAGATTCTCAGGCCTGGATCCCTGCATAGCGAAGCTAGGCCCTTGTTCGTACCCCCACGCCCAGGCCCTGGCCCAGGCCTCGCCCCCACCCCATCCGTCCAGCTGCCGCGCAAAGGGCCTGTTGCTGTTGCGGGCCTACCAGGAGGGGAGGGAGACGAGGGGGAGGTCTCAAGCGGTGGCTGCCAAGTAACCCGCCGGATAAAGGCGAGGGGGAGGGGGAGGCGGTATTGTTTGGGGCGCGGGCGGGAGCTGGGGAGTGGGCCGCTTTTCCTGAAGCCAGGCCTACTCCAGAGCCCACCCAGTCCGATTTGGAACAAGAATGGCAGAGGTAGATCTTGCTGGTCCTGCCGGCACCACTTTACTTCTCTGGGCCGGAGTCGCACTGTAGATTGAGGTGAAGGCTCAAGGATGGCACTCCCGACATGCCACATCATTCCTCCAGAGTGAGGTTCTTTTTTTTTTTTAATGCTTCCCCCCACACACACGCACGCACGCACATCTCCAGGCCCTAGACCACCAAAGCTCTCCTTTCCACCCCTCACCCCACCAACCACCAGTGCCCTGGACTTCTGCAAATCCCATTCGATATGGGAGCAGCTGATGAGGGGGTGGGGACGGAATTCTGGTTGGGCCTGGTGTTGGAGGGAGGACTCTTTCTTCCTGGAAGGGGAGGGGAAAGCGTGATTACTGAGGACCACGTCTTGATCCACTGACGTAGTGGGGAGGTGGCCCCATCCCCACACCCCCAAGGAGTCCCAGCCTAATCCTGTCACCTCCCTGCCCCTCTGGGGTGCGGGCCCCAGAAAGAAAGAGTGTCTGTGGGTGCGGAGAGCACCCAGGGTGAGGTGGGGCTGCTTGGCTGTGGGTGGGCTCCTCCCCGAGTCATCACGTGTGCTTGGAGGGGACCTACATGATGGTGTAAGGGGACATGGAAGAGTAGTGGGTTTATGGAGGTTTGAAGGCCGAGTTGGCAGCAAGGGTGGTTGGATCTGTGGCTCTGTGGAGCCTGAGAGGGGACACCCGGGGAGACCCAGGCTGGTCTGTCATCTGCTTACTGGTATTCTGCACCTGAGAGTCCTTGGCAGTGGGGTGAACACAAGAGCCTGAATGAGGGCAGTGACACAGCCTCAGCAGTGGTTGGTTTATAATTAGGGCACTTGGATGGGTGGCACAGACTGAGTATGAAGGCAGGGGTGGGTGGGATGCTTGCCTTTACTGAGGGCCTAGAGCGTGGAGGGCCACATGCAGAGGCCTGGGTTGGGAAGACTTCCATACACGGATCTAGAGGGAGCAACATGAGAAGCCGGGTCAGGGTCACAGCTTGTCCCTACACATTGAGAATCTGAAAGTGACCAAAGCCACAGCTTCCTAGGAGTAAATGCCATGTCCATAGCATGTGCTGGGGAGAGTTTGGAGCAATGGTCTAAGCCTCTTCTCTCTTTGGATGCCTTTTGTATACCTGCACGCTGAGCAGTAACAAACAGCAGACAGCATGGGGTAGGGGACAGGGTGTTGCCCATTTTAGAGTCAGAGGACCTGGATGGAAATCCCAGGCATCTGTTTCCCGACTCCTGCACTGGACCCAGAGATTCCACCCCTGGAAAACAGGGAACAGGGCTTGTGCTGTGAGCCTCATGTGGTTGATGTGAGATGATGAGCCTAAAGGAACCTGGCACGCAGGCACCAGACACCCTCAATAAAGTGTGATTACCATTATTGTGGTTAGGCTCATTACAACTGGTGCCAGCATGGAGGCATGAACTATGGGGGAGGGCAGGGCGGGATTGGAAAACAGTTTAGAGTGTGGACACCATGGAATCAATATAAATTCCACGTCAGAGCCTCCACTGTATGATGGGGGGTTTCTTAACCTGAGTGTCAAGATTTCCCATCTATAAAGCAAGAGTAAAGCTAGAAGTGACCCTTGGAGCATTAAGTCTTTAAATGAGATGATTAGTTCACTCTTAGCCCCTGGCACACCATTAGTACTCAATAAATGCCAGCCTCGGTTTCTTTTTTATTGACATTTCTAATTGTGTCAGAGGTCTGAGGACCAGAGATGGACCACTCAGAATTGGGGGCGAGGGATGTAAATAGAACAGAATACTGGGGGAGGGACTTATGTGAGGCAGCTGGAAAAGAGACTATGGGCTGCTGTACCCAATGCAGGGCAGTGGCAGGAGGAGAGGAAACGGGAGTAGGGTCTCACACATTGTCCTGTGGCCCAACAGGTGACAGCAGGGTGCTAGTTGTGCTGAGGTGGTGAATGCAATCAGTACCTACTCTAGATGTGTTCTCTGAAGGGCAAACACTATGTTTGCCTGCCAGCATAGTGGTACAGCGCAGGTGGTGTCTTTGTGGAAGGCCCCACCAGGCAGGAGGAAGCATTGGGGTGCATGGACCTGAAAGGATGAATAGAAGCTGGGGAGACTGGCCCAGTGGACCACAGGTATAGATGCAACAGCCAACATGGCTGACACCTCCCATTGACAGCTCTCACTGGACTGGTGGGCTCAGTAATGAGGCCTTTAATGAGCCTCTAATGTGCAGTCATGCATATGCAAATGAGGAGTAAGGGCACTAGGCCAGCTTAGCCCTTTTCCCCCTAAGGAGGGCTGGCCACTGGCTATTAGAGGGACAGAGGTGAGAAAAGAAACAGGAAGCTGAAAGTAGAGCCCCAGAGTAGAGTGGTGACACTTGAGGGCTGTTAGGGCCAGTCTCTAGTCTGAGCTTGAACTGAGGCCACAAGCAGCTGGGAATCATGTCCTTGAGTCCCCTCTGGCCCAGGGAGGGAGTCAGAGGGGCAGGCTTAGATAATGATGCTTTGTTGGCTGGTGGTAGCTCTGCCTGGCACCCCAGGGCACAGCCTCCAGTGTTTTCTCCATCACCTCTCAGCTGCAACTCTTCCCCAAGGGGAATGGGGAGCTTGGAGTAGGGGACAGGGTATGGCCATTCCTCCCTAGTTGTCTGTCAGAAGAGACATGGACCTAGGGAAGGAAGTGATTCCTCAGATATCCAAACTTCCATTTATTGTTATTGTCCCCCAACCCCACCATTTGTTCATGACCTCCACTTTGCCAGGCAGCGTAACATGTATACTCTTTCATTTGTTCCTTATGGCAGCCCCATGAGTAGGAACTCAGGTTCGCCCCATTTTTTTAGATGAGACTCAGAGAGGTGAGGTTGCTTGCCCAAAGCCACACAGCTAGGAACTAGCAGAGGCAGGATTTGAAGTTTCTGCACCAAGTCTTTATACAGAATTAACATGACCAAGCATGCCAGTGACAGGGTCTGGCCCACTTATCTTCCAAAATGTACTTCTGTGGGCATTGTAGTCCAGGGGATCCCCGGTCATTTTCTCTTGCAGACACTGGTAGCCTGTGGCTTCCTATAAGGTTGGGAACCGAGCAAATTAGACTCAAGTGGTGATGATAGGCTAGCTAAAGGTCCATTCCCCACACTTTGGGCTGGGGTGGAGGGAGGGACATGGTGGAGCCAGGGCTGCGGGATGGGGTCATTTCCTGCCGCCTAAAATAACAGGAAGTGGGTGCTCCTGATTGGAGGCTAGGAAACAATGGCTGCCAGTCCTGCCAGGGAGGGAGCTCCTTCAGAGCCTCCTTCTCACTAAGGCTACAGCAGTGTCAGCCTAGCTTCAGGACCCTGCCTCCTGCCTCTGGGGGTGGCCGGCCTTCCCTGGTGCACTGCCCACAAATGCTTAGTTCCTCCAGGCCAGGACTATTGCTGCTCTTTAGAGACATCTGTCCTGGCCCAGCAGTGGGCATCCCTCGGGCATTGTCCTTCCCAGCCATCCCCATTCTCCCAGCTCAAATCTCTCCAGGAGGAGAGACCCATCTGACTCTAGCAGAGTGAGGGTAGATGGAGAGACAGCTAACCTGAATCTGCACACCCCAACTTTACTCTTCACCAGCTGTGTGCCTTTAACCAGTATCTTAAACTCTCAGAATGTTTTTCTGATTTGTAAAGTGGGTAATAGTATCCTAGTCCTTAGGATCGAAACCAAGATGAAATGAACTAATGAGGTTATGTACTCAGTTGGGCCTGACACAAGCCTTAACGGCTGCAGTTATTTATCAGACTTCCCTGGCCCCAGGTAAAGGAATGCCCTGAAGGGGGAAGGCAGAAACAATTCGGACAAGGCTGGAGGAATATGCAGGGAAAACTGGTTTTCTGCTGGTGTGCTTGTGGTTCTGAGGCTTTGCCTGTGGTTCAGGGGAGTGCCTGGCTGTTGATGGGTATGTCTGTATGGATGGATACCTCTGGGTCTGTTTCAGAGCATGTGTTTGTTTCTGTGTATTGATGTTCTGAATCCCAGGTCTGTTTCCTGAGAGAGACACAGAAAGTCCTGTCTCATTATTGTGTGTGCCCTTGTCTGTCTGCTTTCTCTCTTGTGTGTTCTTACCCTTCTCTCTCTCTCTTTCCCCCTTTCTCTTTTTTCTCTCTCCCTCTCTCCTTTCCTCCCTCCCTCCTGTCTTTCTTTTACTCTGATGTGTATATCTGCCTTTCTCTGTGTGTCTTTGCTCTCTCTCTCTGCCTGTCCCCCTCCCCTG